GATCATGACCTGAGCCGAAGGCAGACGCTTAACCATCTGAGCCCCGCAGGCGCCCCAGGAATACTGCCTATTCTTGAGAAGTTAATAATACCACGGGAAACTGCTAGGTGTGTCACTGAAAAGCAGTTTCAAAACTGTCAATATCGTGTGATTAATATAATAAGTTATATTAATAAATTAATGTGTAATTAATAAAAAATCGTGTGCAGAATGAGCAGCTATGTGCCAACTTGTTCATTCAGACCATGAGACTGTGTCTGGTTCCTTCCTATAACTTTTCTTATTTCCCTAATATTCTCTAATGAAAAACTGAGAGCGTAAGCATGAGGAAGAAGCCTACGTGTGCTCCGTGAGTGAATGAGTTTGAGTCTGGAGAGAAGGTCTGCAGACAGTGGGCTCAGGGCTCGGGTGAGGAGGGTGAGGCCCCTGGGCGGGGCACCTGAGCAGAGTCCTGGGGAGCACGGCGGGCTCTCACACCCTCCCGGGCACCGTGGGTCAGCCTGGGCGTATCCTTGGCCTTGTCTCTTACAGGCTCTGAGCAGAAGTGTAACCGCTGAGCCTCTTTGCTCACCTACAGAATGGCAAAAGTCATACTTCCCTTGCAGCACGATTTTAGGGTTTACTAAAGGTGGGTGCAAAGTCTCATGAGATGGTGGTGCTATGACTGATTTTATCTTCCTTCCCCCTTCTGTAGCGGGATCCATAGTGTCTCCCTGAAAGTCACGTGCACCCGGAACCTGAGAAGGGGATGTGAATTTGGAAATAGGGTCTTGGCAACTGTCATTAGTTAAGAGAGGTTACTAGTGGACCAGGGTGGGCCCTAAATCCAATTTACCGGTACCCTTATAAGAAAACCAGAAGACACAGCGGTGTGGGGGAGGAGGCCAGACGATGAGGGAGGCGGAGACTGCAGCAAAGCAGCCCTGAGCCAAGGCTCGCTGGGAGCCCGGGGGAGGCAGGACGGATCCTCCCCTAGAGTCTGCAGAGGGAGCAACACACAGGATCCATAAACAGGGATTTTTCTGCCTTCCAGAAAACAAAACACGGGCAGGACAAGGATGAGAAGTGGGCCTACATGATACTGTACGGAAATATGATGGTCCTTACTATTTGTGGAAGAAATAGGCATACTTCTGTGGCTAATTCGTACCCAGTGAGCTGTTCACAGCTGTCCTTCACACTGTCACCACCTGACACCGTCCTGGGTGCGGGCAGATAGACACACACAGCTTCGTCTTTGTGCAGCAGACACGATAGGGTAATGTGTGTACCAGTTGAAAAAGACACCCATTCCCCAAAGTCCTGTTAGACTTTCTTTTTTTTCTTTTCTAATACTTAAAACTTTTTATACTGAAATAATTTTAGGTTCCAAAGATAGTATAGTTTCTGTAAACGTTCCCTAAATGTTGGCACTGTACTTGAGCAGGAACAGCAGTTTTCAGAAGCAGGAAATAAGCCTTGCTTTACAACAGATGAGCTGACCCACAGCACTGACTCATTCACCGTTGTCCCAGTAAAGCCATCTTTCTGGCCCAGGCTCCTGCCACACTGCGTGCTGTCAGTTTCTTCATCTTTGTCGTTCAGGATTGTGATCCTTTTAAAGAGTATAGATCACCTTTTTTGAGGACTGATTCTCTTTGGGGCTTGGGGGATATTTCCTCATGATCAGGTTGAGTTTTATCGTAAAGGAATGTGGGGAGCAGGGGCATTGGCGGGAATCTCAAGGACAAGATGGTTTTCCTTCAGCTGACTCATTCACAAAGCAGGTGCACGATGCGTGGGTAGCGGGGCCATAAGTCAGGCTTTTGGTTCAAACAGTTTATGTACAGTCATGCTGACTTAGACAGAGATCTAAACTGGCTCCCCTTGTCTATCCGGTCTTTAGAGAGTTGTTTTTTGTTTTTTTTTTTTTCCTCACTGTGTCCTTTCAGTGCATCTTATTGAGGGTACCTGGTATCCATGTGTCTTCTCCCGGGTAATACTGACTTCCATCTTGAATAAAGTGGTGTCTGCCAGGTTTCTCCACTGTAGAGTTACTACTTTCCTATTGTAACCAGTAAGTACCTTTGAGACTCTGCAAATATATTTCCTATCATACTTTTGCCACTAATTTTAGTATCCATTGCTGGTTCTTGCCTGCAATGCACAGCAGACTTTGAAAAGTTTCGGAAAGAGGGATAATTTCGCATTCAGAATAGAGCACATTCATTCATTCATTCATTTTTTAAAGATTTTATTTATTTGACAGAGAGACAGACACAGCGAGGGAGGGAACACAAGCAGCGGGAGTGGGAGAGGGAGAAGCAGGCTCCCCGCTGAGCAGGGAGCCCGATGCGGGGCTCGATCCCAGGACCCCGGGATCCTGACCTGAGCCGAAGGCAGATGCCTAATGACTGAGCCACCCAGGCGCCCTATTCATTTATTTATTTTTAAAAAGATTTATTTTGAGAGAGAGAGAGTGTGCCCGCGAGTGCAAGCAAGCATGGGGGAAGGAGCAGAGTGAGAGAGAGAATCTCAAGCAGACTCCCCACTGAGTGTGGAGCCTGACACGGAGGCTCAATCTCACAACCCTGAGATCATGACCTGAGCAGAGTCAGACGCCCAACCAACCGAGCCACCCAGGTGCCCTGCACATTTATTTTTTAGGTACACTGGATATGATGCAAATCTTTCATTAGCTGCCAGCATCCAATAGCTGTTTATACCATAAAGCATATTTTTAAAGTAGATGTTGGTGCATTTCGTTATTTTGGTGAAATTTTGTGTCACAAATTCACTATGTGTTTATTAAAATTGCTCTTTTCTTAGGCTTGGTTGTCTCCCATCTTCTTTTTCCTGCTTTAGGACTGTTCCCAGCCATCACGCTGCCCTTTGTATAGCGCACGAGTGTGTCTCTTCATTGCCCGACCTTGTCTTGTTCACATCACTATTTATAGATGGCACCTAAACAGTTGGTGGAAGAGTTCATTCTGATTCTAAAATGAGTTTCTAGGGGCGCCTGGGTGGCTCAGTCGTTAAGCGTCTGCCTTCGGCTCAGGTCATGATCCCAGCTCCTGGGATCGAGTCCTGTGTTCGGCTCCCTGCTCAGCGGGGAGTCTGCTTCTCTCTCCCTCTGCCCCCCACCTGCTTGTGCTCTGTCAAATAAATAAAATCTTAAAAATAAAACCAGTTTGTAAAATGTTTCCCAACTTTTTGTCATGAAAATCTCCAAACACAGAGAAAGTTGGAAAAACAGGGCAATGCTTTGCTCCTGCCACTTGAGTCAACCTTTGCTAACATTTTGCCCCACTTGCTTATCTACGAGTGATTATTATTATTTTTTTTTTTTAAAGATTTTATTTATTTGACAGAGAGAGACACAGCGAGAGAGGGAACACAAGCAGGGGGAGCGGGAGAGGGAGAAGCAGGCTTCCCGCCGAGCAGGGAGCCCGATGCGGGGCTCGATCCCAGGACCCTGGGACCATGACCTGAGCCGAAGGCAGACGCCTAACGACTGAGCCACCCAGGCGCCCCTCTACGAGTGATTATTGAGTTAACTTCCGGACAATCCCGACACTTCACTATCACCACTTTGCGGTTATTTCCTAAAAGTAAGAACATTTTGCAGTATCTGCTACTGGCAGACTACCGTCCATGGGCCAGATCCATAACGCCACCTGGTTTTGTTTTGTTGTGAAGTCAGCTCTATGCCCAACATGGGGCTCAAACTCACGCCCCCACGATCAAGAGTCGAATGCTCCGACTGAGCCAGCCAGACGCCCCACATACCACCTGGTTTTGAAAATAAAGTTTTATTGGTACAGAGCCATGCTCATCCTTCACGTTTTGTCTGAGGCTGCTCTTGCCCCACAGCAGTCGTTTGGCCCGTAATTCTGGAAATACTTACTATCTTACCTGTGTAGAAAAGAGTTGACCTAAGTCCTGACTGCTCTCCTTACAACCTCATGCTCATAAGGTTGGCTGGTGTCTGAGAATGTGGATGTCAAGAGGGTTCCCACCACTATGTGATAAGAGCGCCTCACTGGGCCAAAACCATTTGCACAAATAATGTGGCTTGTTGACCCTAAAAATAAAAAGTTGTTTTTACCAGCTAAAATGGGTTTATTCAGGAATAGCAGAGAATTGTAATCGGAAACAAGCAAGCTACTGAAAAAAACCATAGGCTAGTCCGACGAAGGAGAGAAACTTTATTTTATGGGGAAGAAGGAGGAAGTTGGAAGAGGTTGTTTTGAACAGACGTCCGTTGGAGAAAAGCAGGAGTTCGGGGTGATGATGGCTTCTCATCAGCTACATTGCAGAGGTGGCCGATCTCTTGTAGGAGATGCAGGATGCATCTTTCCCTGTTGGGACCCTCACGGGTGATTCTTTCCCGTGGAGGATTCTTCTGCTGCATCTGTGATTGAAAATTCTTCCTGTAATTGCAGTTGAGTGGTGAGGATCCCCCTTCTAGCTTCCCAGCTCCACTTGGGTGAGGTTTCCTTTCGTTAATTTTCACAGGCTTGTGATGAACACCAGGTCTCCCTCTGGGAGTCTGGAATTTTGGTACGAGCCAGGCAGAGGGTTCCCATGTGATTAGCCCCTGGTAGAAGCCTGGCACTGATCTCTGACCAGCTGCCTGCTAGATAACATCTCACAAGTGTGTCACAGCCCTTTGCTGTGAATTAAGCAAATTCTGTGTGACCCCACCAGGAGAAGCTTCTGGAAGCTTCCTCCTTGACTCACTCAGCAAGCCTTTTCCCTGTGCTGATTTTGCTTTGTATCCTTTTGCCTTAATAAATCATAGTCATGAGTCCTCCTAGCAAATCAGGGAACCTGGGGGTAGTCATGGGGTTCCTGGACACATAGCCCTTTATAGAAAAATTCTGCTGAACCTCATTCTACATAAACACCATCACACCCTAGAAAAGAAACAATTATCCTGTACCATAATCTACACAGAGTCTGTATGAAAGCTTTCTCAATTATTTCCAAAATGACTTTTTAGCTTTTTCTTTAAACCAGGGTCCAGTCAAGATTTGTATGTTGCATTCCCTCCTCTTACATATATTCATCCATTCAGTCCTTGTTTAGGACATTAACTTTGTGAAGACATCAGGACAGCTGTCTTGCAAACTGTCCTAGACCTGAGTTCGTGGTTTTCTCATGCACTGTGGGCAGCCTTCCTCCACATCCTGAAAGCAGGGGTGCAGACCGAGAGGCTGGGCGAGCTTCAGGCTCATCTGCCCCACAAGTGACCCTGGTGTCAGCCAGCGCTCTTGCTCCAATAGATGCCAACTGTTACTCCTCATCGCACTTTCTTGAGACACTGACAACGTCCAGACCGTTGTAAACAGCTGACCGGAAAAGCCCAGACAGCAACAGAATGCCTAGAAGCCCCCTTGCCACACATCCCCTCCCCGCCCACGATCAGGGCTGAGCACACACCGAACCCCACCCTTGATCACGCACTCTCCGCCTGCTCTCTGGCCTGTACCCCCTGACCCTCTCTCTAGAAAACTCTCGGTGTCCGTCTTGCCGGCGGTGGAGAGGTCCGTGGTTAAGGCTGGAGCGTCCACCTCCGCCGGCTGCCGCCACCCAAACTAAACTCCTCCCTTTCTCTTTTCCAATTATCGGCTTCTCTCGTGAGGGGTTCATCCGAGTTTGTTCGGCTCCTCCTGGCCAGGCCGCCCGAGTCCCAGAAGGGCTTCCGTTCCCTCCCCGAGTCAGCGGCTGTGACAGACCCTGGGGCACGGGTAAGGGCGCCCCGGCCGTGGCGGGCCACTCGGGGCGCGGCTGAAACCGGCCCGCGCCACCGCTCTCCCTCGGTCGTGGCATTTTCGGATGACTTTCGCCGGAGTCAGTGGTTCATGGGGGCTGCACAGGGTCTTTCTCCAACCCCTCACCGGCCGGGGTGAACTACAGTCCCCTAGCAGGCGCACGCTTCATGGCCTCTCTAACTGTACCCTCCGCAGAACCAGGCGACGCGGCCATTACCGGGCCTGGCCGCTAAGCGGCGGCGCCCGTGGCCCGGGAGGGGCGGTCGCGGCCCTGTGACGTCATGCGCACGCCCGAGGGAGACCGGCGCGGCCGTGTGACGTCGCACGCGCGCCGAGTGGAAAAGACGTGGTCGCGGAAGCCCAGGGGTCCGGGGCGTTCGCCATGGTTCCGCGCGTGCCGCTCCCGCCGGAGATCCAGCTGGCCCAGCGGCTGGCCGGAAACGAGCAGGTGACCCGGGACCGGGCGGTGAAGAAGCTCCGGAAATACATCGTCGCCAGGACGCAGCGGGCCGCAGGTTGCCGCGGGGCTGGCGGGGTCGGGGCGCCTTGCGAGGCCGGGGCGCCTTTGGGCCGGGCCGGGCCGGGCGGGGTGCGCGGGGCGGCCGGAGGTCGGCGGAGGCGCGGTCTGTGGTGTGTGTGTGTGTGTGTGTGTGTGTGTCGGGGGGGAAACCTCCGAACCACGTGGGTCCTGCATGCGGTCAGGCCCGCGCGGCGGCGTCTGCGAGGGTGCCTCCCACAGCCCCACCCCTGCCCGGCGAGCCCTTGGCGCTGCGCCCCCACGCCGTGGGGAGCCGGCGTCCCCTTCTGACGGTATACCCTGCTGTCTCTGCTGCCCGCTGTTTGGGCCCTCGGAGCGGCGTTTGTTGCTGTTGGCAGTTCTCTCTTCGTATAATTATTGGGTTGTGGTCTGAGTTAGACTGCGGCGGATCGTCCCCCAGGGCGGAGGACATGCTTCCTGTGAGCTGGTCACTCTAGGGCTGGTTCCGAAAGCGTGGCCCCGTGAGCAGCATCGGCATCACCCCGACGCCTGTTAGAAAGGCAAATTATGAGTCCCATTCCAGCCCCAAGCAGTCAGAAACGCTGGCGGTTGGGCCAGCAGCCTGGTGTAAGAAGCTCTCCAGGTGATTTCCATCCTGGTGCTGAAGTCCGAGAAGCACTGCTTCAGGAACAGCGTGCCAGACACAGAGTTAGGACCGCCATAAATATTTCAAGGGTTTTATATGTCTGTGTGTCTTACTAGTTTGAATGAGTTAATTTTTCCTTTTAAAATTTGAAGCGTAATACAGGAAAGTGCACAAACCGCAACATGTAAAGCTGAATGAGTTATCGCCAGCAAATCCATGCAATGTTCAGTGTCCACAAATGGAATACGGTGCCTTGGATATGGATACTTGTAGATTCTTAGTGTTTATTGAGTAACGAAAGGGCCGTTAGGTGGGGGAATACTAACAGCCACAGGTCCAGCGGGTTCTGAGTTGAGAGGATGAAAGGGAGGGGAGGGAGGGCCTCCAGGAGAGGGGAGGGCCAGGTATGTTTCTACTTAGAGCGCTTTGATCTAATTCAGCCACTCAACATTTCTCTGGCTTTGTTGCTGGCAGTAAAAAGTTGGGTTTGCTTTGTCTGAGTGTCACTGTTTTTGGTGCAGGTGGCTTCACTCATGACGAGCTGCTGAAGGTCTGGAAAGGACTGTTTTATTGCATGTGGATGCAGGACAAGCCGCTCCTCCAGGTGAGTGTATGAGGAAGTAGCAGAAGCATCAGTGGGAGGACAGATGGGCACGTGGTTGACCCCCATTTTAACGTAGCGAAAGACACTGAATGAGTTATGAAGTTTTATAGCTTCAACACTTTATTTATTTATTTATTTATTTATTTAAGATCTTATTTATTTGGGGCGCCTGGGTGGCTCAGTTGGTTAAGCAACTGCCTTCGGCTCAGGTCATGATCCTGGAGTCCCGGGATCGAGTCCCGCATCGGGCTACCTGCTCAGCGGGGAGTCTGCTTCTCCCTCTCCCGCTCCTCCCTCTTGTGCTCTCTCTCTCTCTCAAATAAATAAATGAAATCTTTAAAAAAAAAAAATCTTATTTATTTGACAGAGAGAGACGCGAGAGCGGGAACACAAGCAGGGGGAGTGGGAGAGGGAGAAGCAGGCTTCCCGCGGAGCAGGGAGCCCGATGCGGGGCTCGATCCCAGGACCCTGGGATCATGACCTGAGCTGAAGGCAGATGCTTAATGACTGAGCCACCCAGGCGCCCCTAGCTTCAACACTTTGTTTACAGTCAGAGGGCCGAGGCCTTTGGTTAGAGTGTGTGTGGTGCTGCTGAGGGGAGCGCTGGTGTGACAGGTGATTGCCAGCTCGGGTGTGTGTCCGAGGCGGCAGACCGCGCCGAAATAGGGAAACTGAGGGACAGAATCCAAGTCTGCTGAGAAAAGGGTTTCTCCTGCTAGGTTTTTTTTTTTTATTATTATTTTTCTAAGAATTAGACTATTTTTAGAGCAGTTTTAGGTTCACAGCGAAATTGAGGTACAGAGAACTCTCATACAGCCCCTTCCTGCACACGTGAACAGCTCCTCCCAACCAGAGCTGTGCGTTCGTTACAGGTGATCAACTGCCTCACACAGACCGTCCCCAGAGCCCATAGTGGGTGTGAGGGTTCACCGTTAGTGTGTGCATTCTGTGGGTTTGGACAAGTGTGTGGTGACATGCCCCACTAGGACAGGATCTTACAGTGCAGTTTCACTACCCTAAGATGCTAGCTTTTTTTTTTAAGATTCTATTTATTTATTTAGAGAGCATGCGTGGGGGGGACAGAGGGGAAGGGACAGAGAATCCCAAGCAGACTCCACACAGCGAGGAGCCCGATGCAGGGCTTGATCTCACGACCCTGAGATCATGACCTGAGCCGAAACCAAGAGTCAGACGCCCAGCTTCCTGAGCCATCCAGGCGCCCCTCATGCTGGCCTTTTTAAAACAGTGTTTGTCAGAGTGAATTGTTTACTTTTTTTCAGAATTACCTGGTGGTGAGGGTACTTATTTAAAATGCAGACTCCTGTGCTGTATTTGATGCTTACTGAGGGGAGGCTCTGGGATTGTCTGTTTAGCAAGTGCCCTAGGGGATGCTTAGCACAGTGACACTGGCAGGCAGCGAGTAGTTTCTGGGGTCTGGTCCGTCTCTTCCAGCTGGTCATGTGGCCCCATCTCTCCCGTGCCCCCCTTTGACTGTCAGTCTCTGTTGCTTGAGGCTCAGCCCCGGTCGTGGGAGCAGTGGCTGCCCTTGCTTGTGATGAGCTTCTGTTGGTTCTGGCTGCAGGGGGAGGCCTCTTGCAACCGTGCAGCTTGCAGACCTGAAGCACGCTGGGTAGAAAGGCCGGTGGGAGCTGGTTCTCGTGGTGAGCGAGTGGAGATTTCGTGTGGTTGTCTTTCTGTTGTGGCTTCTTGTTGTAAGGCCGTGTTTCTTCAGGGTCTGAGGGAATTTTTTCTACTGTTTACTACCCCAGGAGGAACTAGGGAGGACCATTTCCCAGCTCATCCATGCTTTCCAGACCACAGAGGCACGTGAGTACCCTCGCCTCGGGGAAGCCCTTTGGGAAGGGCAGAACTGCCGGGAGTTGGCTACCAGATGTGGAAGGCTTGTGTTCTTAAGATGTAGAGCAAGAGGGAGGTCCCTGTCCTGGCTTACACGCGAAATGTTGTTCTAAGTGTTCAGCAGTATTAACTTGTTTGTCCAACGGGGACCTAGCTCGAGGCTGAAGGGCCAGTAACTTGCGTTTTAAAATGAAAATGGAAATCTAGTGCAGTGTGGCCAATTTGCTGGACCGGGTCAGCTGATGGTGGCATTCCCTCAGGGCGCTTCCCCGACCCATCCGTTTTTGTCCTGCCCAAGATCTGTAGTTCTCAACCCTGCTGCCTGCCCTCTGTGATTGCTGGGGCATCTTTAGACATCTTGATGTTTAGACTCCGGTCCAGTTGAATCAAGCTGTGGGGGTGGAGCCCGGGCACCTCCCTCCGATGCTCGGGGTGGGGAGCCCGCGCCCCTGGCAGAGACGGCTGTGGCTGCTGCTGGTGAGGCCCCGGTTACCCCCGGTGGGTGGGTTTAGTTCAGTTACCGGGAGGTCGGTAGAGTAGTCACAGTTAGGGACGGTAACCACTGTCTCAATTTGGGAGTGTGTCGTTAGCATCTGGGAACCTGCAGGAGAGTTTCTGTGCTCAGCAGAAGGCCAGGTACAAAACAGTCCCCTGCTGACGGTTGAATGGGTTAGTTTGCCCGTCACTGAACTGTCTGACCGACCCTTTGGAGAAACTTGTAGCTGGAGATCAGGGAGGCCCCGTTTGTTTCCCGAGGCCCAGGTGTGGGCAGGGCTGGTTCCCCAAGGCCTCTCTCCTGGGCGTGCAGACGCCGCCTTCTCCTCTGTCTTCACACGCTTGTCCCTCTGTGAGTGTCTGTGTTCTCATCTCTTGTAAGGGTACCAGTCACATTGGTGCAGGGCCCACACCAGTGACCTCATTTTACCTTAATTACCTCTTTAAAGACCTCATTTTTAAATATAGTCTTTTTTTTTTTTTTTAAGATTTTATTTATTTGCGAGAGAGAGAATGAGAGACAGAGAACATGAGAGGGAGGAGGGTCAGAGGGAGAAGCAGACTCTCCGCCGAGCAGGGAGCCCGATGTGGGACTTGATCCCGGGACTCCAGGATCATGACCTGAGCCGAAGTCAGTCGCTTAACCAACTGAGCCACCCAGGTGCCCTTCAAATATAGTCTTATTTGAGGTCCTGGGGTTAGGGCTTCATCATGAATTTGGGGGACACAGGTTAGCATATAGCACTGTGTGTCTGACCTACATTATCGGGAGGGTTTGTGCCTGGTGGGTTAGTGGATGTAGTGGGGCCAGGCATGGGGGTCAGGCAGGGTCGCCGGCCCGAGTAGGGGAAGAGCCAGCCTGGGGGGGTCAGGCAGGGTCTCTGGCCTAAGTAGGGGAAGAGCTGGCCCATAGGGGTTAGGCAGGGTCTCTGGCCCGAGTAGGGGAAGGGCCAGCCTGGGGGGGTCAGGCAGGATCCCCAACCCGAGTAGGGGAAGAGCCGGCCCATGGGGGTCAGGCAGGGTCTCCGGCCCCAGTAGGGGAAGAGCCGGCCCGTGGGGGTCAGGCAGGGTCTCCGGCCCCAGTAGGGGAAGAGCCGGCCCAAGCAGCCCTTCTCTTTTAGTGGCTTTGCCAGCTCTTTGCGCCTATTCTTCAGAGAACGTGGCTGCAGATTGAGGTTGTAGCTGGGCTTTGCTTTTCTTTCTGAGGTTTCTCCAGCCCCATTTCTAAGCCCAGTTCCGAACACCCCTTCTGAGTGCAGCAGACTGGACTGAGGACCCTAGAGGTTGGCCGCACATGATGTCCTGAGCAGGTTTCTCCATATTGTCTCACCTCACTTCCCGGAGTGGCTTCTGTGTTCCCCTGTGATTCTCTCTGGCCTTTTTTCTTCCTGCAGAGCATCTGTTCCTTCAGACATTCTGGCAAACCATGAACCGCGAGTGGCCAGGCATCGACAGACTGCGCCTGGATAAGTTCTACATGGTGAGGCTGCTGGCGGCAGCAGCAGCAGGCATGGGGGGCATAGGGGCGGGGCTGGGGGAGCCGGGGGCACGGCCCCGAGCAGTGTGGCCTCCGAGCGTCTCCTGCCCTGGCAGGGCTGCGCCCTTGAGTACTGTGACCCATACGTCTCGAGGGCCTAGGGTTGCCCGGCATGTGCTCTGTCTCTGAGGGTTGGTGAGCGGGCAGAGAACTCAGTACTTAAACAGTGCACAGGTTCCGGTTCAGAGGAGGAGATGAAAATGGCCTGTCTGGGGAGGATCAGGGCCGCAGCCTTGCACCCTGCTGGAGCTGCCACAAGCCGAGTGCCAGCAAACCTGCATGGAGTTCATGCCCTAGTCGTAGACCCTTGTCCACTTGTAGGGTGCCCAGTTGGGAAGCTGCTTTCTTCTGGGTGAGGACGTTCATAGAATGGTATGCAGAATCCCCTTTTTCTTTCTTTTTTTTTTTTTTTTAAAGATTTTATTTATTTATTTGACAGAGAGAGACACAGCGAGAGAGGGAACACAAGCAGGGGGAGCGGGAGAGGGAGAAGCAGGCTTCCCGCCGAGCAGGGAGCCCGATGCGGGGCTCGGTCCCAGGACCCTGGGATCATGACCTGAGCCGAAGGCAGACGCTTAACGACTGAGCCACCCAGGCGCCCCTCCCCTTTTTCTTTCTGATGCTGCGTTCCTCAGAATTTAGGTTATTGATTTGCCCTCAGAGACGCAGGAAAGTTGGGAGATTTACAGACTCCGTATCCCCACCCCACATTTGAACCACACTCCTGTTCCCGCAGCAGTGTTCACGGGCTTAGGATAGTGTTGCTGAGAGCAGGTGACCCAGCTGGGCCTCATTGAGGACGGCTGCCTTTGGGGCTGCAGTTACTCATGATCTGCCACTGGGATCAGCTCCCAGCTCAGACTTGGCCCCGGGGTTATGTGGGCCCTGTGTATCTCAGATGTCAAGGTGAGGACCAGCTAGTGGGCAAGGCATGGAGCTCAGGAAGGGAGGAAGATGGAAGCTAAAGCATGTGAGGCCGGGGGCAGAGGCCAGGCTGTGCACTTTCACAAAGCACGGGTTTCCCAGGCAGGAGTTTCCCTAAGATGTAGTTGCTGTGCGCTTGATAGGATGGCTTCTGTTGCTTTGTGGGGGCCCGTGTGACTGCACCCAGTAGCGCAGCCCCCTGGAGAGACGAAGCATCTGGCAGCTGTAGGCACAGTGAGTGGTGCCCCGTGTGTCCTGGGGCACACCTGACGGCCAGAGACCCATCCCCATGTGCATCCTCTGTCACTTTACACTCCTGGAGCCCTCTGTGGGTGTGCCGCTTCACATCTGGGCGGTAGGAAAACCGGCTGGAAAAGCCGTGAGCTGTTGTCGAGGGGAAACGGGGAATCGTGGGGCAGGAGTCGGGATTTGTCATAAAGGATGAGCTTTTTTAATGGGGGAGTTACCTGCCCTGGGGATGAGAGAGAAAGCAAACACTTTCACTGTCTGTTGGGGAGAGAAGTCCTTCGGAAAGCTCAGGGGAGCCTTTCCCAAGGGGCTCAGCCTCCCCGGGGGGGACAGGCGCTTTGTTCTCTGTTCCCACTCCTGAAATAGGGACCGTTCATTTGGCTTTTGTTCATGGCCCAGCAGTTGCTCCCCAGGGTGTCTGCTGTGAGCCAGAATTCCTGGTGCTCTTGGAAAGCGGGAGCATCCCAGCCTGGGGGCAGCGACACATTCTCTGGTGTCCTGTCCAACAGCTCTGGAGGGCCTGCTATGCGCTCTGGGCCACAGGGATGACCGGGGCAGAGGGGGTTCTGGGGAAATGCAGGCTGTGCCCCACTAACAGGGGTCTCCGTTCATGCCACAGCTCATGCGGATGGTCCTGAATGAGTCCTTGAAGGCCCTGAAGACGCAGGGGTGGCAAGAAAGGTTGGTACTCGTGGCACATCCCGAGAGCGGCTCCTGCTCACAGGCGAGCCCGTCTTGTCACTGGGGCCGGGGCCATATGCTTCTCTCCCAGTTACTCGTCATAAAGAGATGTCAGTCTTCCCATTAAAGGGTGACCCGATGGTGCTTAAGATGAAGGCATTTTAAAATTTTGGTTTGTGCATGTGTTCACAGAAATGAATGTTTTTGACCTTGAATGTAAGCCCTTACTATGAATCCAAATTGAGTTCTCTCATTATCATAATACTGGTTTTCAATATAATTGATGCACAGCTAAGGTGCCTTTTTTTTTCTTTTTTGGTATTACATGGCATATTCAATTCTGTTATCAATGGTATTTGCTTTGGTTCTAGAAATTTTTAATTTATCCAGACTTGTCACTTTTGACAGAGGTGCTTGTGATGGGGGTAGTCCGTGTCCCCCAAATTAAGAGGCCTGCGTTTTGTGGCCAGCATCGGGCTTCCCCTGGCCCTGGGCCGGTGGGGCTCTGGCGAGCCCGATCTCTTCTACCCTGCGGGCACCCCGGGGAGCACGCTGGGGCAGGGCCGGCTGAGCTGCGGCTCCCGGTGATGGCATGAATGGACGCCTCTGGACGTCCAGGAGGCAGACCGAGATCCACAGCACCAAATGGGTTCTGAGTTCACATTTTAAAGTTTTTAAAATTAAAGTTTCATCTCTTTACAGTTTTTTCTAATTATGAGAGTGACACGTTCCCAGTATAAGGAACTAGGAAAAGTTTTGTTAAACGAAGGAAATGCAACGCGAGCTCCCAACACAAAGATTTTGCAGATGCTTCTGTGTTCTGTGTGCGGGGTGCACGGTGGCGTCTGAGCACGCACAATGTCTGCGGACTGCTTTTTATTTTACTGATGACGTGTCCAAGGCGCCCCTCATGTCAGCGCCCTGCTGCGTGGTTTTGGGGGTGGGGCAAGAGGAAAGAGACTTGGAAACAATATATTTTGAGTGGCTTTGTAATGAAACGGTGCGCTAGACCAGCGTATTTGCAGTCTGCGCATGACCGTGCCCGCCAGCTCCCAGCCCAGCTGCTGCCACGGAGCATGCGTTCCCGCCGCGGGGGGGGGTCTCCTGGAGAGCGAGGTTACATCCTCGCCCAGGGCCACTTTTTCCCCCTATAAAACAGACCAGCAGGAGTGGCCTGTAGTTCCCTGGGCTTTTCTGAGTTTAGAATTATGATGAGTGACATCATGTTTAGGGCGAGGGTGCCGCTGCGGAGCCTGATTTTCACCCTCTAATTCCCGCGAGGCACCGAGGCCAGGGCTCTTACTGTCAGGACGTAGGGTTTGGGTCTTCATAGGTGGCTAGTGCACGAGTGGAACTGAAGGCTGAAGGGACATTTTATCTCTGATAACTCTTGTGAGAGGAGTTCTTTCCTCACGCCGCTAAGAGATGCAGAGAGACCCTTTTGAAGAAGCTGGTAGCCTCTGATTGGGCCGTGCCGTCTGTTCCTTTAGCCTGTCCCCGTTCCCGCTCAGCCGGCCAAACCTGGTTGGTTGGTCAGTGTTTGTTACTGTCACTGGCCTGGGCGGAGGGCTCCCCTTCCCTGAGCCGCAGACAGCATCCTTTCCCTTCTGTGGCCGGTGAATCCCCAGCGCTGTCCCGCGGCCGCCCCCCCCCCCGGGGGCTCATTATGGAGTGCGTGTTCTCCAGTTCAGGTGTGGTAGTCAGCGCCCCATGCATGTAGACCAGCAAAGACTTGCCGCCAGAACTCTCTGACCCCGGAGCCCCAGGCCTCTGAGGCCACTGACGGCAGCGTGCTCAGGGGCGGCAGACGTGGCCAGCTTGGGGCCACGACTCCGTGCAGTGGGACTGGGGAAGCAGCTCTTCCGTCTCCTTTCTCTGCCTTCACTCTGCTGTGGTGTGCGCTCCTGGGCAGGTCCCCATGAGGACAGAGAGACGCGGGACATGGTGGTGTAGCCTTTGTCATGCCAGGCCTTTCTCCTTCCACTTGTGGTCCCTGCACAGAAGGGAAGGCGTGTGCGAACGTGTACTTTGTACATGTTTGTAGCTGAGACACGGCCTCGCCACGTGTGCTGGTGCTGACGATGGTCACCGACCTGTAATTACGAGTCGTCTGTGATGGAGCAGACCCAGATCACCAGCCGCCTCCCGTGGGGCAGGCGCTGGCGTGTGATGGTGTTCCTGTCAGGTAGGGGACGTCGCGGGCTTGTAGCCTGCTGTGGCTGCCCGCCGTATTGGCCTCTTTCCTTCCTCAGGCACGTCGAGCAGCTGCTGGAGCTGCTGACGACGGAGATCCTGCACCCTGACAGCCAGGCCCCCAGCGGGGTGAAGAGCCACTTCCTGGAGATCTTCCTAGAGGAGCTGAGCAAAGTGGGCGCCGCTGAGGTGAGCCCAGTGGGCTGCGGGCGGCGGCTGAGCCCCCCTCTACCGTGCTCACGCACAAGGGACTGAGGCAGCTCCCCCCTCCTTTCTTTGTAGCTGACGGCAGACCAGAACCTCAAGTTCATCGATCCCTTCTGCACGATTGCTGCTCGGACCCAGGAGTGAGTGGCAGGGGGCTTCCTCCGGCCTGGTTCTTCTTTCTCACGGGGTTCCCCTGTCGGGAAGAGAGAAGGAGTTGTGTGTGTGTGACAGGGTCAGCGGAGTGGCCTCCGCTGCGGGTCGGGATGGGCATACCCGGCCTAACGGGCCTGCTCCGGCACCTGCTGTCCCGCAGCTCCCTGGTTTTGCATAACATCACTCGGGGCATCTTTGAGGCGATCGTGGAACAGGCCCCGTTTGCCATCGAAGACCTCATGAATGAGTTGGACGCACAGGAGGAGGAGGATGGCATGTCGGAGGACGATGAGCACGAGCAGGATGTGCTGTCCAAGGAGCCAGGTAAGGGGAGGGTCAGCGCAGCCGTGTGAGGGCGCCCCTTCTGGCCCGGCGAGCTTTGGTGCTTGTGGGGTCCCTGCGTTCGCTTCTCGTCTGGTCCCCCTGTCCTCGGCCTGCCCCCGGCCCGGCAGCCAGGGTGTGTCCTCCCCGTCCTGGGCCTCGCCCCCCGGCCTCCTGTTCTCAGGGCGCCGTCCTGACTCCCTGGCTCCTTTCTCACCCACCGTTCCTGCCCGGTGCCTCTGCCCTGCTCACCCTTCCTCTCTGGGCCCCACCCTCCATCGCCGGGCCCACCTGGACCTCCCCACCCCTACCCTGTCTCCCTCGCTGGGTTGCTCCACAAGATATCTTACTTTCTGGCGTAAATCACTTAAAATTACATGAATTGCTTGTCTATCATTCGTGGTCCTATCTCCCCACCGGATGCCGGCTCCCCCAGGACCGGGAGTTCTTTTGATCGCAGCTGCGTCCCGGTGCTGGGAGCAGCCCCAGCACAGGAGGTGCCCTCTAGATGGGGGAGTGAGCAAGCCGATGAACGGAGCCTACCACGGGGAAACATGCCATGGGTGGTGTCCCACTGAAGGCCTTTGGGGTCAGGGCCTGGGCTTCGGTCTGGTTTGTTGACAGTCTTGATGCTAATGTGGGTCCTTGTGGGACATGGGTTGATCTCATGTGCGCCGTGGACTGGGTTGTGTCCCGTGGCTGCAGGGGTGCGTCTTCCACCACTTTCAGGACTCTTCCCTGCCTCCCACTCTTTTTTTTTTTCTTTTTGGTGGTAAAATACACATTATGTGAAGTTTACTATGTTAACTTTTTTTTCTAAGACCCATTTATCCAGTGTCGTGATCAGACTATTGTTTTTAGCAATCAATAGCATGGGTGGAAAAAAAGATCTACATTAAAACCTTTTGTTGGAATGCTTTACGCTTTCTACAGAACAGAAACTAAAATACTCTGTTATACTGTTAGTCACAAATCCGGTCCTCGAGTTTTCTGCCCACACACACAGGTGTTTGCAGCAGCTCGGCCCTGCCGCCACGGTGCGTGGCTGAGATCCCATGTCTCTTGTAAGTCGTAGCTTCCTTGGCACTTCTGTGGCTCTCCTCTGGCTCCCCCCGTGGCTCCCCCTGTGGCTCCCCCCGTGGCTCCCCCTGTGGCTCCCCCCATGGCTCCCTCGTGGCTCCCCCTGTGGCCCCCCCTGTGGCCCCTCCCGTGGCTGCCCCCGGCTCTCCTCTCCTCCTCAGCTCTGTGTTCTGGCAGCGATGAGAACCTCCTGTCGCTCCCATAGCTCCTGCTGCTGCCGCCACTGCCGGAACTGCCACGGCCACCTTGTTTCGTGGTTTGGCGAAGTATTGGCCTCCATCACCTCAGGGGCCAGAGCTCCTGCCTCCAAAATTCCCTCCTGTCATGGGTGCAGAATTTGGAAGGTTACTGCAACTGCCGAAGTCATGCCAGCTTCCGCCGGCTGCAGAGTTGTTACCCTGTCGTTCCCAAGCCTGTTAGAGCAGCCCCACGGCTGCCACCTCACCCACGGAAGTACGCCCCACAGCCACCACCGAACTTTCCAGAACCACTTGGACCTCTGGCTGGAGGAAGCACTCACCATCTTTTGCTTATTAGGCAGGGCTTTCCTCGCTTCGCGGCTGTGGTCGTTCGCAGTCTAGTATTTCTGAGTGACAGTCTTGTCCGCACAGTCACGGCCCTCAGATGTTACAAGAGCTGAGCCTCTCTTCTTGTCACTACCTCCCTCAGTCATGATGTCCGTCGGTCAGTTTTCCCATAGTGTTTGAAATGATCTTCGATGGTGTTCTTCAGTGTTGTCCTTAGTGCCGCCAACAGAGATGTTTTTCACGGTTGAGTGGGCAGCAAGCCTCTGAGAACCCTCTCTTGAGACAGTCGTCTTTGCTTCCGCAACTCTTCCATCCCCCTTGTGGGCCTCACGTTCTTGGCTGCCTCCACCTCCGTAGCGGCGCAGCTGACAAACCCAGAGCCTCTGGGGCGCTGGGTGTTCGGATCTCGTGACCCCACAGTCCGAGAGCGTCCCCCATGGCTCAGAATGGCTCCTCAGACTCTCACTGGTCCTTTGAAAGCTCAGGCCTCTGATGAAGAGCTTCCAAAGCGGTCCAGGCTCTGGGAGGCTCTGACTTAGGCAGGTCGGCGGTCGGCAGGGGGACTTGAACGATGCTTCCTCGGCCACATCGGTGGGCAGGAGAGATGCTGACCATGTTTAAGTGTCAAGTGCCTTCACAAGCTTGTGCAGCCACCACCACTGTTCATCTCCAGAACTTTCCATCTTTCCATACTGAAACTATCCCTGTTAAACGCTGTCGTTTCCCCTCCCCACACCCCTTCCCCAGACCCCTGGCACCCTCTCTGTCCCTGTGGATCTGACTGCTCTGGGTCCCTCCTGTGAGTGGGTCACACAGTGTTTGTCCTTCTGTGGCTGGCTGGCTTCACTGAGGATGGTGTCCTCAGGGTTCATCCCTGTCTTAGCATGTGTCAGTTTCTTTCCTTCTTTTGAGGCTGAGTAATATTCTGCCATAGGTATGGCCACGTTATGCTTACCCACTCACCCATCAAGGGACCCTTGGGTGCTTCCATGTCTTGGTTCTTGTGACTCATGCTGTAGTGACCTTGGGTGAACAAGGATCTCTTGGAGACCCTGCTTTCAGTTCTTTGGGGCAAATACCCAGAAGTAGGATTGTGGGGTCACACAATTCTTTTTCTAAATTTTTGAGGTCCCTCCCAGTTCCCACAGCAGCTGCATCACTTTGTATACCCACCAGCATTGTGCAGGGTTCCAGTGTCCTGTTTTGTTGCCAGGAGCCACTCCCATGGGTGTGAGGGAGTATCTCACTGCGGTTTGGGTCTGCACGTCCCCGATGTCCCGGGGACGTGGAGCATCTTCACACACTCGTTGGCCGTCTGCATCTTTCTGGAGACATGTCCGCTCAGGTCCTTTGCTTTCAGGCGAGTCGTGTGCTACTGAGCGTTAGGAGGTCTCTCTGCATTCTGGATGCTCAAGCCCTGTCAGGTCTGTGATTTGCAAATATCTCCCCCCATTCTGTGGGCCGCCTTTTGGATAGTGGGTTTTGATGCACAGATGTTTGAGTTTTCATGAAGTTCAGTTGGTCTGTTCTGTCACGTGTGTCTTCAGTGCCCCGTCTGAGAAGTCATTGGTGCGGCCAGTTTCGTGAGGGTTTTGCTCTGTTTTCTTTCTTTTTTAAGATTTTATTTATTTGAGAGAGAGAGAGTGGGAGAGAGCATGAGTGAGGGAAGGAACAGAGAGAGGGAGATGCAGGCTCCCTGCTGAGCAGGGAGCCGGACATGGGGCTCAATCGCAGGACCCCGGGATCATGACCTGAGCCGAAGGCAGACGCTCAACCTACTGAGCCACCCAGGCGCCCCTCCCTGCTCAGTGGTTTTTTTTTTTTTTTATTTTTTATTTAAGAGTTGTGTTATTTGAGTTCTTACATGTGGGTCTTTTATCCCCTTTAAGTTAAATTTGTACATGGGTGAAGGACCCAGTTTCGTCCTCTTGCCTGTGGCTGTCAAGTTCTCCCAGCACCGTTTGTTGAAGAAACGGTCTTTCCCCCAGGAAAGGTCATTTGACCATATAGATTCAAGGGTTCATTTTTCTGCTGCCAACTCTGACCCCCTGCTGGAGTGCTCCTAGGTAGTTCCGTTCACGCCCCCTCCATCCATGCTCCCAGCATTTCATCCAGCCGTCCTGTGCGTCTTGCCCGTCCTGTCCTTCAGTAGCCTGAGTCACTCTGACACCGGGGCGCTGGCAGGCCCACTGTGCCTGCCTGTGGCCCTGCCATCCTCATTCTCTGTCCTACTCGCCTGCCTCTTGTCCAGAACTGTTCTGTATGCAGTGACATCAAAGCCGAATGATCGGAAACACGGTCTCTCTGGTCCCTTGATCCAGGCTTGCCCTGTGGCTGGACCTAGCTCCCCTTCCTTGATTCTGGAATTTCTGACACTACATTGGTTTTGTAAAATATCCACACGAAATTCCTCTTAATTCCGTTGTCAGGACGACTGCTCAGCCCCCTCCTCTGGGATGTCTCTTTCAGTGGCACCTCTCCCCTCCGTGTGAGGCTGCCCATACCCCTGCCCCAGCCTACACCTGCACCTCTGTCCAGGTCATGGGCCCTGGCACACAGGGCTCTTGGTTCCCAGGTGTTTGTGTTGGGGTGCTCTGCACACTGGGCACGCACCTTTGAGTTCACGGGGACCCTTTTGTTCCAGGCTCCCCCCATGGGGCTGCACGCGACAGGAGTGAGGAGCTGCCAGGAGATGGCGAGGACAGCGTGGGCCCCGTCCTCCAGGTGGGTGGCCTGGGCTCGCGGGCCTGGCCCTGCCTCTGCACTCCGTGAAGGCAGGCGCTCCGGGCCCTCATGTACAGAAACAGGGAGGTCTTGAAACTGGGACTGGGGGCCAGCCAACAGGGCTTGGGCTTACCTGCCCGTCAGCCGCCTCGGGTGCACTCCCTGCTCGCGTCGTGGGGTGCCGGGCAGAGAAGATGGCAGTGCCGAGAGGTTGCCCCGGGTCCCGCTCAGGGTCAGAGCCCAGCAGAAACAGAATGCTTACTAAAGAGCCGTGAACATTGGTTACGTGTTAAATTAGTAAGAATTAGGCATATTGGCTTAAATGGCGTCTGTGTAAATTAACGTGGCTTGTGTTCTTTCTCCCTGTTTGGACGTGGCTGCCCGAGGGTGTAGTTGCAGAGGCCAGCCCGGGAGGTCCCCTCACCCAGTGGCGGTGGCCCCGGGGAGTGTGATCGCTGCCCCGTGTTATACGCAGCGTTTGCGGAGGGGAGTCGGGAGGACGTCCGGGCGTGTCCTTGTGACCCGACCGGAGGATCTGCGCCTGGTCCATGTGCTCTCTCTGCTCGCTGCACATTCCTGGAGCACCTGGGAGGTGACTGCATCTCTCTTTGTGCCACAGTTTGACTACGAGGCCGTGGCCAGCAGACTGTTCGTGGTGGCCAGTCAGCAGGGCACCCCTTCCCAGAACCGGAAGCGCCTCTACAAAGTGATTCGGAAGTAAGTTGCCCTGAAGGTGGCTGGTGACCCCTCCCCCTCCCCTTGGAGTTGCCCTCGCTCTGTTCCACCGTCTCTGGGGGCCTTTGTCCACCCTCAGAGTGCAGGTGGAGGGGCATCGAGGGCGGCCCCCGGGCAGCTGATGGGAGGGCCGCGTCCCCCCTCGTGTGGAAGTTGCGACCATGGTGAGCTCCTGTCTCTCCTTTCAGGTTGCAGGACCTTGCTGAAGGTGAGCATCTCATGCTGAGACCCTGGCCCGGAACACCGTCATCCTCCTAGGCACACTGGCTCACGTGGTCGCCCTTCCAGTGGGATTAATCGCTGCATAGGCGGGGCTTTCTCTCCAGGAGAGGGGGCTTGAGGGGTTCTGCAGCTCGTCCTCGCCCCGCTCGGTGGCTCTCGGATCCGGGTGTGTGCTGGAATCCCTGGGAAGCTTGTTTTGCTGAGTGCCTGCTGCCAGGGCAGGGGCCCGAGAACCTGCGTGTCTAGTGAGTTCCGTGGCCTGCCCTGTGGCTGGTCTGCGGTGCAGCAGGCACTTCCCCGTGTACGCCCGGTGCAGCCGGTGATAAGGCATAGGAGTGAAAATGGGCCTCTCCCCAGTTTCACTGTGAGGTTTTAGACGTAGAGCGGTGGCGGAGAGGGGGTCGATGGTGAATACTCGCATGGCCGCCACCTTGGCTCTGCCATCGGTATTTTACTGTCCTCGTATTGTCCTCCCTCCCTCCCATCACGCTGTACCCGCAAGTATGTTGTGCTCCTTGTGAGCTCAAGTTCGGTACTTGTAGGTAACGTTTTCATACGGTGACGTGCTTGAATACCGCGTACACGTGATGGGGTTTCCATGCACAGACCCCCATCGACACGGAGAGCATCGCCGTTGGTCTCCTCTCAGCCTAAGCTTTTCAGGGGATCGACGACGATGTAGCGTGAGCGCTCCAGGGCCTGGCTCTGGCTGGCATCTCACCGCACGCACGGCCTGGAGTCGGTGGTAGCCGTGCGGGCCTGAGCACGGGGCCGTCTGGCACGAAGTGTGCGGCCCTGAACGTGCACACTGAAAACACCCCAACCTGCCCTTAGCCTCCTGATGGCCTGCCTTGGTCCTTAGGCCTCTTCCCAGAGGATGACGTGCCTGAAAAAGCCTACAGGAACCTGCAGGAAGAGGGGCAGGAGAGGAGGACAAAGAAGCGGCCCAAATCCAGGTCACAGAAGCAGCCAGGTAGGACTGGCAGTGTCTGCCGGCCGTGGGGCTTTGGTGCCTGCGGTCTGTGTCCCTTGCACCCCCTCCTCCCCAGCTCATCCACGGGGCCATGGTTAGACCCCCGCTGGGGGCTGCTCTGTGCTTGTTAACGCCCCACGTCCCGCTGGGGCACGGGGCTGCCTGCTGCCATGGAGATGGGCCCTGTGCACTGCAACAGCCAGGGCAGGAAAGGGCTGCAGAAGAGGGATAGCTGGTGGCCCCCCCAGCTGAGAGCCCTTCCGTGGTTGCCCGTGTGTGCTTAACGGTCTCAGGTTCGGGGGTCTGCCCTTTGAAGGGTCTCCTGGTTTGCCCTGGTTCGGCTCCTGCCCGGGCCACCTCCGTCCACGTTGGCTTACGCCTGGGCCCTCGCTGCGGTCACTGGCCTGGCTCGTGGCTCTGTCGTGCACCAGGTTGAGTCCGCTCCATTCTGGGTTCGAGCCTGCCCACCCTCTGAGTCACACCTCTGCAGCCTTCTTCCTCCCGACTCTGCCGGCCTGCTGGTTTTCCTGAAGGCCTGCTCCGGTCGGCCTGCCTGGCTGGGAGCCACCACCATGTCACATCTGCCTGACGGCCGTGGAACTTCACATCCGCACTGGCAGGACGCTCTGGTTGGCTGGGGCGGGTCTGCTGCTGAGGCCTTCGGGTCCTCTTGTGTGTCCTTTGTGTGGCCCTGGAGCTGGCACCTTCAGTCAGAGTGGAAGTGGGCTAACCAGGCCTTCACGGTGCCTCGTTCACGTGGCCTTGCTGTTTTAGGGAAAGGCGGGAAGGAGGACTCACGGCCAGACCCGAGCTCCGGATCCGAGAGGAGGATGAGGCGGCGGCGGCGGCGGGGCTCGGGGACTGAGCCCACGGGGCCGCAGGAGCAGCTCGGGGGCCCAGGTGGGAGAGGGGCTCGAAAGAAGAGGCGGCGGCTTCGGGCGGGGGCCAGAGTGAAGGTGGCCGGTTGCCAGGAGCTACAGACCAAGCAGCGGCCGCTGCAGAGCCGGAAGTGACCGCAGCAGGCCCAGCGCACGCAGGGGGGCGCTTTCCCTGTGGCTCCTCCGTTTTGCGCTGAGTGGCGTTGGGGCGCAGGACCGCGGGGCCCTGCTCCCGAGACTCTGGACACGGACACCCGCGGCTCCCTGACGTACTGTGTTGGCAGAGGGTCGGGCCTCTTGCTCGGTGTCCGTGCTTCAGAGCGTGGACGCCGTGCTGACCTTGGTCAGGCCAGGAAGTCCCCTGAGACCTAAAACTGCCTGGGGCCGGGGACAGGCCCCACATGGGGGGTGTCCATGAATAAAATGCTCTGCAGCTCTTACAAGCAAGGTCCTACTTCTGCGGCGTTGATGCAGGAAGATCCCGGTGGTGTGAATTGACAGGGTCTGGTTCCCAAGTAGCGTTTATACTTTGTACCTGTTGCATGGGAACAGCTGTTCATACACCTCTCACAAAATTCGGGAGAAGATGTTGAGTTAGCTGCGGTTGTCTGGACGTCCTCTTCATAAACTTGTGTTTGAAGCGGACGCTGAACCTGTGCTTTGTGTTGGCCCCGTGGCTCGGGGTTGATGTGTCCGAGGCAGGGAGGTCGGCTCATGTGACTTAGAGGCAGAGACTCCTGTGGGCAGCCCCACGTGCCCCTCACGTTTCCCCTCAGCGCCTCTGATTCCGTTTCAGCCCTGCTCACCCGGAGGGTCCGAGGCAGTTTGCCAGACCCTGGAGAGTGCAGGTGTGAGTGAGTGCCGTGTGGGTTCCGGAGCTTTCCAGGCGGTGCTGTGGCGTGGTCAGGGCTGCATGGGTGGGAGGTGGGCACCGTCTGGGTCAGCCAGCCCCATCGCTGCTGGGCAGAGGTGTGTGGGTGAGCCCAGCTAAAGGCCCATCCGGGCTTTGGCTGAACCCCAGTTCCTAACGCCTTGCAGCATGCTGGGGGAGTGGTGCTTGGTGACCCCCTTTCCATCAGCTGGGTGGACAGAGGCGGGGGCCCCTGGGACTGGCTGGGGCTCGGGTGGAGGCTTATTCCTCTCCTGGAGGTCATAGTTTCTGTTCTCCAAAGTGATTGGGCAGAACCGGCCTGCCCAGCACAGCTGGTGGGCCGAGCTCAGTAAAGCTCGGTGGCCTGGCGGACACGCTGAGCCCCCAAGTCTTCTCCAGTGGCGCCTCGGGCCGGGGTCCCATTGCTGTTCCTGCCTTTTCTGTGTGTGACGGGGACAGATGCTTTATTGTTTTGGTTGAAATTTCTTTGGTCAAAAAATTAAGGAAACAAGCGCAGTAAGAAATTTCTGAAAAAAACATAAGTTCTACCTGATTGCCGTCCTCAAACCAGAGTGTTCGTGGTGTCCTGAGCGTTGGGTTCTAGGCCATTCTCAGGCCACACTGTGGTCCTTCCCTCCCCGACCATGCTGTGTGGACACCGTGACTGGGCACGCTGGCAGGCTGGGATGGCTTGTGGCCCCCCTGTGTCTGACTGGCAACGTCCCCTCTGTCCCCCATCAGCACGTGCTGTCCTTGGGCAGAGCAGGGAAGCCTCAAGAGGAAATGGAGGGTGACCACCAGCCCTTGCCCCCAGGAGAGCCTGTGTCCAGGAGCAGGTGTCCTGTTTATTTCCCTGTGCGTTCTTTTTCTAAAACCGTTTTATTGAGCTGTCATTCATGCGCCTCACAAGTCCCTCGTGTCACGCGAACAGGTCCATAGTTCTCAGTACAGAGCTGTGTAGCCATCGCCAGAATCCGTGTTCGACCATTTTGTCCTGAGAGACCGCTGTCCTTGAGCTGTCCCCTCCTGGCCCCCGACCCCAGCTGACACCCACTTTGTGTCCGCACAGATGTCCCGATTCTGGACTCTCATGTAGATGGAATCCCACCACGTGGGTCTTCGTGTGCAGCTTTTCTCACATAGCGTGTTTCCAGTGTTTATCTGTGTTTGTCGCACGCATCAGGATTTCATTGCCCGTGTGGCTGAGTGATACTCTGTTGTGTGGATTCTCAGTCTCCCCCTGCCATCCAAAAGCACCACACTCCTGTGAAACCCTCCGTAAGCCGAGACGACATAAAGCGAAGAAGCACGTGCCATTAGTTTACGTGGAAAACTTCTGAGCATTCCCAGACTCCAAAAATCACTTCTCCCAGGCTCTTCTGATCCCCAGGACATGTTTAGCTAATGGACACACAAAATCAGTCGAGATCAAGCCCAGATGCTCAGGGACGCAGCCGAGAGCCCCGGGGCCGGAGGCTGAGATGCCGCGGGTGGTTCGCGGGGCAGGAGGTGGGGGGCCGCGCTCGCTGCTCGGGTGCAGTCCGCCACCTGCACGGCGGCTCACTGGACACCCGCCGCTGGACGCGGTTTTCGCTTTTCGCCTTTTCCACCTAGAAGTGGAAATCTTCAGATTGATCTGTAAAAACAGGTAGTGAGGTAGGTCTTTCACAAGCGTGAAGTGGGGTAACGCGACCTTCCACAGAGCGGGGCGCCTGTAGCACCTGTTCGGGGCGCTTCCCCACCTGTCGGTCACAGTGAGTGGGGCCGCTGCAGACCCCCGTGCAGACACGCCCTCCTTGGGTGCGGACCCAGGCGCGGAATGTGAGGCTGGTGGCAGGTGACCACGGTTCTGGACGGTTCCCACCTCCGGGGACGGGGTGCGGCGGCAGGCGAGGGCTCCCCGTGCCGCTCACCCCGTGAGCTCTCGTCACCACGGTGGCACAGCCGGTTGGAGCGGACTGATGGGCTGAGAGTGCCGTCTGCTCACGGCTGTGGAGAGCTCGCCTCACCCCTGCGCAGGGGTGCATAGCGCTGGCCGTCCCACCCCGCCCCTGCCTGTCCCTCGTGGACCTGGCTGACGGGCCCCGGCAGGTGACTCCTTGGAGTAACTTAGGGAACATTTTCTTTTTTTTTTCTTAAAGATTTTATTTATTTATTTGAGAGAGAGAGAACACATGAGAGGGGATAGGGTCAGAGGACGAAGCAGACTCCCTGCCGAGCAGGGAGCCCGATGCGGGTCTCGATCCCAGGACTCCAGGATCATGACCTGAGCCGAAGGCAGTCGCTTAACCAACTGAGCCACCCAGGCGCCCTAGGGAACATTTTCTACAAGTCTCTCACCTACGGCACAGCCATCGAGTTTGAGAAATTAGCATGGGCACCTCAGTGCCATCCAACCCTCTGGTCTGTTCGGTGATGCCCTCTGTGGCCCCGGGGCCCCATCTGGAGTCTCCTGCATCACATTCTCCTTACTGTTTAGTCCCTTGAACTAGGTCCTCCATCTCTGCCTCACATCCAGGACCTGGACGCTGGGTGGATCTCAGGCTGGCGGTCTTGTACGTCGTCCCCACTGCGGGCGTCTGGTGGCTCCTCTCGTCTAGACGCAGGGGATGCAGGAGTCAGAAGCGAAGCCGGTTCTCTGTCCTGCCTGGGCCTCGGCTTCCTGCTGGCTCTGGTACAGAGGGTTCTTGTGAATGTGGCCCCTTCCCTTGGGGGTTGACAGTGTACGTGCTGAGGGGCTCCGGAGCCCCAGTACCCAGTTTCTCATCAAACTCTCCATTCACTCCTTGAGTGACTTGCGTCGGTGGCTCATTGTTTCCTGTTTTATCCAGTGGGTTATAATCCGTTACTGTTACTTGTTTTAATTGCATGTCCCATTTGGGCCAGTGGGAGACGTCAGGCCGGCTTCTTGGTGGGGAGCACCCACCATCTGTCACCTTTGTTACGGCAAGAATCCTCAGCTCTGGGACCAGCTGCTTCTCCCAGGACGCTGATGTGGGGGGTACAGCCCTGCCCGGCTCAGGAGGGGCTGGTGTGGGTGAGGGTCTTCTGGGGTCCCTTTGTCTTGTTTTGTTCTGAAACAGCTTTACCCACATGTGCTTTATAGGCTGTTCAGTTTGCCTATTTAGAGTATGCGGTTCAGGGGTTCTCTGAGTCCATCACCACAGTCCATTTAGGACATTTTCACTCATCCCCAAAAGAAACCCCATCCTGGGGGCTTCCTTTAACTTGGGGAGAAAGCCTGTGTGAAGCTTTCGGACCAGTAGGAGCCCCCACCGTGGGGTGGTGGTGGGTGACTGATCACAAGGCTAATAGATTAATTGATCGTTTCCTTGAACAACTAAAGGGTCTAGAACAAATACAGCTTGTGTCTGAGGTGACAAATTCCTGTAGCAAACGTGATTTACAGTTTTGTGGTTAGTCCAGCTCTGCTTCAGTGTCTCTCCTGGGCACAGGAGCTCTGGAGTTCAGCGGTTACGTAGGGGGCATCTGGGGATCCCTCTGCCGCCTCTGTGTTGGCACACATAGGACCGGAGCTTCCGTCCTGGTGCCCAGAGACTGCCCCTGGGCCATGGGCTCTCGGCTACCAACCCCGGGTCACCAGAGTTCAAGCTTTGTCCTTGGCTTGCTGAGAAGGGTCAAGGACAGCACAGCCTTGAATTACCAGAGGGCTTGTGTCAGCCTGGGGGTCCTCTGAGTTAGCTTCTCATCAAGCACTACTGTGACCTCTGACCCCCTTCCATTTTAGCCACGACCAGGAGGGAGTCAGGCCCTGGGTGGGGTTGGGGGGGCAAAGCAGGGGGCAGCTTTTGCCCAGGCCAAAGAGACATCAGGGATGCAAGGGAGGGGGTCTCATTGGGGTGAGGGCCGGCAGGTGAGGAGGGGCTGGTGTTTGCTGGAGGTTCACGCAGGGGAGTGACCGGCCAGGGCGGTTTTGCACCTGTCCCTCTGGTAGTGGGATAGAGGGTGGACTTGGGGACAGTCTTGCCAGCAGCCCCGGATTGGGACGCTCTCTGACTGATGGCTTTTCACACACTGCCTTATAAAAATAGCCTCTTAATCACTAGGGGCCTGGCAGCAAAGGACTCTCCTCATCCTCAGCCCAGAAGTTCCCCAAATGGGCGGCAGGATGCAGAACCCTGACCATGGTGGCTGATGGACAGCTGGGTGCGCTGGAGGGGCAGATGGGGGGGGGCCCATCCTGTGGCACGTAGCCTGCAAAGAAAGAGGAGGGCCCCAGGGGGCATCCACATGCTGCCCGCCCCGTCACTGTGGGAAGGACTGAGGCTCCCGGTCCCAGCCCGTAGCCTGTAAGGGCCAGTTAAATCCCAGCTGGAAACGTTTCCCCAAATGACCTTTCTACTGTGAAGAGAACGCGCCAACCAGCTGACTTCAGCAGTGGGCAGGCTTGGAGACTCTACTGAAAGGGGCCACTTAGCTTGTAAATTGGGCTGATTTTCTTTCCCGAGCCGGATTTGGCTGGAGGGAGCTGTGTCCAGCGGTGCCTTGTCTTCCTGCAGCAGCCGTTCCCGGGCGCCCTGAGACTCCCCTCCGAAGCCCAGTCTCGCGGCACGCTGGCGGCTGCCATGGCCCATCCCTCTCCGAGGGGAGTTTCTTCGCTCTGAGCTGCCGGTCAGCCGGACGCGTGCACTCTGAGGTTGCAGCGCAGATGGCTCTGTTCCTGCGGCGTGACGTGTGGGCGCGCATGCAAAGTCACACTCACGTCTCCGTCGTCTCTCCACCTCTTGAGCCTCTACTTACCTGTGTATCTGCCTGTCATCCCTACTTCCCCACCTCCCAGTCCTCTGTCCTGTCATCTCTCACCTCTCTTCACCCACTTACTTGTCCTCATCCTGTTCATCACCCACCTGCTCTTTACGGAAGAGACGATTGAAGAACCGTGGCAATTCTTATCTGTAAAGTAACCTGTTTCCTCACGTGTTAACCCCATGGTGTCTTCTCTCCACGCGTCCTCCCCCATGGCGGTGTCCTCCCCCATGGCGGTGTCCCCCCCATGGCGGTGTCCTCTGTGGAGTGGCCTTGTTTACGTGGAGCCCTCCATCCTTGTGTGGGTGAAGGGTAGGGTGGAGGTCCAGGGAGGGCAGCCCAGCCCCCTTGGGTGGCCCCTTGGGATGTCTGCTTCCCCTGCTTCTGACCCATGTCCTCTCCCTCATCCGCTCCATTCCCCTGGGACCTGCCACAGGGAGTGGGTGCAGTCCCACCAGCTGCCTCTGGGGGCGCCCTTGGTCCTTGGATTACATCTCTACGCCCTCCCGGCCAGGTCATCAGGAATGCTGTCCCACTGGCCAGTGGCTAAAGCCCCATCTTGTTCTTTTTCTTGGCGCTGTCTCTTGTGCCCCGGGTGGGTGAGCAGGACTCTGAGTCTGTCCGATGGGGATGGTTGCATGGATCCTCACCCAGCCCAGTTGGCCCAGTAGCCTGTTTTGTCCTCCAGGCCCCAGGCTGGACGCAGGTCGGGGTCCTTTGAGCCTGGTTTCTCACCTCCAGCCTGCCTGGCCCCACAGGTGAGGCCAATGTGGGGGCTTCCTTTCTGGGCTGCCCAGGCCCCTCCCCCCAGGGGTGGCTGGCAGAGCTCCAGGCTCTGTACCCTCTGCTCGTCCCTCTCCTGGAGGCTGCAGACTCTTCACTGCCAATGGCTGGGAAGCAGGCCCCAGGAAGAATGTGCATCCCTGCCCGGGGCCCTCTTGGCTGGCGCTGCAGACCTCGAAGGCGGAGCGTGAAGGTGGGCAGGCAGCCCTACACACTTGGCAGATGGGCCTGGGGAAATCTGTGGCGCCTGTGGCCCCAAGGCTTGCCGCCCTGCCTGCCTCTTGGAAGCCTCTGGATTCATAGGGTCGGAGGCTGATGTGCAGGCAAAGGAGAGGTGTGGCCCCCAGGGCCTGTTGGAAGCCAGGTTTGGGGGTGGTGGGGGTGGGTGCTCCTGCCGACGTAGCCAGCGCCCTCCCGTCTGAGGTGGGCAGAGGGAAAGGTGCCCTGGTCCCCCCTCGGGTGGGTCCCTAACCACCTCGTCTGCCTGTGGGTGGGGTCGGTGATTTCCGACGGCTCCACGGGGTGTCCCTGCTGCCGGCACCCCATTTCTGGAAACCCAGGAGTGTGGGTAGAGCCCCAGGCAGAAAGCTGTGGGGAACCAGCCTTACCCCTGTCCTTTCCCGGGGTGGGGCGGCAGAGCCCCCGGACTTTACGGTTTGCCCATGGGTCACAACCCTTGCCCCCGCCGCTTATTTGCACAGCCGGGCAGCCTGATGGGTGGCCACACAGCATGGGAAGAAAGGGGAGTCAGCCCGAGGGCTGGGTCAGCAGTGCGTAGCCAGCGCACCCAGCAGGCGGGCATGCCGCGGCTCCTTTGTGTAGTTTGAGGGGGCCTGGGTGGCTGCGCTGGGTTCTCGCCCCCCGCGGGGCCTTGCTCATGGGGGCACTGTGGACACGTCCTCTCTTCCGAGCGTGCGCCCGCCGCACTTAGGAACCTGCACCGTGGGATTCTGAGTAACGACATTCGGTTCTTTGCAGTGGCCTGCACTCCCTGCGGGTCCCCGGCAGTCCGGCTCACTGCCCCTCCCTGCGGTCACCCCCTTCCCTCTTGTTTCTTTCCTCCCTTCTTCTCTCTGCTTTTCTCTGTAAATGCTCATTCAGTCTTGCACACTCGGGGGCTGGGACCGCAGTGCTGAGGTCGGGCGCCAGGGCGCGGCCCTGCGGGCTCCTGCTCAGGGTCTCACGGGCTGAAGTTGAGGTGAGGGCAGGGCTGCTGTCACAGGTGAGGTGTGGGGTCCCCGTCCCAGCCCACTGGCGGCTGGCAGAGTTCAGTTCTTGGCAGCTGGGGGCCTGAGGTCTCTGTTCTTGCTGGTTGTCCGCAGCTCCTGGCCGGTGCCCACGGCCACTCGCCTCCCATCCATTCCTCCATCCTCTTCTCTGCACTCCAGCCTGCCTGATTAGGACAGGCCCACACACGCTGGGGCTGACTAAGCATCCTGCCCCCCACAGTCCCCAAGTCCAGGCCTTCTCTCTCCTGAGTCTTATACTTCAGAGCTTGGTCCAGTCCCTTTCCTACCCCCGGAAAATTTCCTGCTCTGGGAGGATTGCCAGAGTGAAAGGGATCGAAAACACTGGAATGTTGCGGGGGTGGGGGGCAGTTAGGATTGACTAAGCCAGAGAGTGGCCCCAAACTCCCTGGACACCCAAAGCACTCCGCCTTGCTTGGCAGTGCCGCAGATTTCCCTGGCCAGGGTCCAGGGGTTGTGCTGGGCAACAGGGCAGGGGGTGGAGAGGGGGCGTTCTGGGTCACCTCATCACCCCACCTTGTCCACAGCCCGGTCGCCCCGCCCCACCATCTGCCTTTCCCTGTGTGCCCTCACCCTGCACCACAGAGCATCCTGCGGCCAGGGACGGGGTTGACCCAGCTCGGCGTCACCAGCCCTCAGTGTGTCAGGGCGCCCTAGGAGCTCCTGACACGTGGTGCCTGGGCCACCCGGGGGGCAGGGGGACAAGCATGTAACTGAGTGCCTGTGGCTGGTCCTGTCTCTTCCGTGGTGGGTTAGTTCCTGGGCTGGCTCCTTTCTGGGGAGTGAATCCTGCCTTCCATGCTGGAGGGCGAGACCACTCCCAGGGGCTGAGCCAGCACTCCTCGGGTTGGGTAATCCCTTGGGCACACCCCAGGACCCCATTTCCTTCTTGGCACTTGAGTGGCGTGGGCCTTGCCCTGGGGTGTGTCTGCCCTTGCACCCTGAGAGGGAGGACAATCCAGTCATTATGGCTCTTGGCAGCCCTCCTGTTGAAGAACAGAACGCCTTGTCTTTTTTTTTTTTTTTTAAGATTTTTGTTTATTTATTTGACAGAGAGGGAACACAAGCAGGGGTAGTGGGAGAGGGAGAATAGGCTTCCCGCTGAGCAGGGAGCCCACTGTGGGGCTCGATCTCAGGACCCTGGCATCGTGACCCGAGCCGAAGGCAGATGCTTAACGACTGAGCCACCCAGGGGCCCCCAGAACACCCTGTCTTGCCTAAAGGCCCTGGGTCACCCAGATGTGGAGAAACCATCCCCCTGCCCATTCTCCCTGCTGAGGCCTGAGCCCTGAGCCCTGCACACCCACAGCTCTGCTTCCGAGGGCCCCCTGCCCACCGGGGAGGGCTTCTCTCAGCCCGTGTTCCCAAGGGGAACAGCCCCGACCTGACGCCTTTTCTCAGAGCCCCTTTGCTTTGTGCCAGTCTGAATGGTCCTGAATCCTCTCTTCCAGATCTTTCCTGGGCGGGAAGCAGACTCGGCTGTTTCAGTGTTGGGTGGATTGGGCCTTGGGGGTCCCTGAGTTTGTATCATGTGTGGGGGCTTCTGAGGGGCGAGGCAGCCCTACCTTCCGCTTCCCAGCCCCGTGTCTGTGGCAGCTTGCTGGATGGTCAAGGCTGTCTTTTTGTAATTATTTATGTACTACGTTCTGCCCTGACGTGAATCGGTGATGTGCTTGGGTTTCGGGAGGGACATGTTGATTCGGAATGCTTTGACTAACTGAAGCCAGACTCAGGCTGGCTGAAACAGGAGATGGGATTCAGTGGCCCTCACCCCGGGGGAAATCTGGAGGTGGTGCAGGCCTCAGGTGAGGTCACTGCTGGGCAGGCCCCTTTCCCTGCTCAGCCCTGCGTGGCCCCTGTCCCTTCACCAAGCAGCCGTGCTGGGGCTCCGCTCGCCCTCGCTCACCGGCTCGGAGACGCTCTGTCTGGAGGGGCCTGCTGCTGGCCACCCGGGCCCTCCCACGGAACTTCCGGGCCCATGGCACGTGAACGGGAGACCCCGGGTGGGGCAGGCGGTGCGTCCAGTCTCCCCGACGTGAGGTTTCAAAGCAGGAAGCATCGTCTTCCCCTTTACTTGGGGTAGACTTCTGACAAGGGTGAAGAGTCGTAAGCGGGGCTGATGCCTGGCTGTCTGTGCGGCGCTGACAGGCCCCCAGCCCCAGGACTCCTGCAGGTTTTCTGCTGTGCTCGAGGCACCTGCGTGTGTCTCTGAAGGAGCTGGAGGCTGGCATTCCCCAGGGTTCCCAAGGAGTCCTGGCAGGGAGGAGCAGGGGCTGGTGTGGGAGGAACCCGGAGCTGCTGTCAGCTGGAGGCCAGCTTCCAGTCGGGACTGGAACCTGTGACGTGTGGGCGAGGCGTCCAGGGGGTCCTGCCCAGGTTTCGGGTCGCCGTGGGAGGCTCCCGCTCTCTCTGTGAACCGGGGCTGAAGCCTGCGGCCCAGGGTGGATGTGGCGCCGGCATTGGCCTGCAGCCAGTTGGGGCAGTCATCAGTGAGTCATCTGCTTGGAAGCAGAGCCTGAGTCGGGGATTCTCGTCCTGCTGCCCCCAGAAGGTGGGGGGGCAGCGGGAGGGCAGCGAGGAGTAGCCAGGACGTTCTGCCTGGCACCCCAGAGCTCTGGAGCACCAACGAGCCACAGAGCTGGGCCTGTCGCGAAGCTGGGTCCCGTTGTTTGGACTGGGTCCCCCCATCCCTCCCTGGAATCAATCACTGGCCATGAAGTGCGCGTAAGACCTTGGTGAGGATGTTCAAGGTATGTGGGGCCCATGTCTGGAATGGGGTGGGGGGGTCCCAGAGGCAGGACCGGCTGCAGGATTTGTGGGGCCTTGTGCAAAATTAACGTATGGGGCCTCTCTTTAAAATCATGAAGGATGTTGAGCCGGCGACGGCCGGGCATTAGCCCAGATGCAGGCCGTCTGTGCGCGGGCCCCAGGACAGGAGCTTTGTGCCGCTGTGCCGTGGGCTGTCCCCGGGATGGAGCCCCGGTGTGCGCCTCCGCAGAGGGCCCACCACGCGCCCGGCTCCATTGTCCAGGAGCTCACATTCCAGTGGAGGAAGAGCTGGGGTATGGGGAGGGCAGAGTGGGTTGAGGGGTTGGCTGTGGCAGGTGAGGGGCCGTCTGGGGAGGTCACCTTTCACAGATCCCGGAGGGGGCAGAGCCGAGTCAAGCAGCTGCTTGGGGCAGTGTCCTCGGCCGGGGGCAGCCAGCGGGGAGGAGCACTGTCCGTCCGCTCGGGCTGTCTTAACCAACGCGCAGACCCAGGCTCAAACGACGGCAGCGTGCTCTGTCCCAGGGCTGGAGCGGGAGATCCGAGATCAGCTGTGGGCAGGGCTGGCTCCTCCCGAGGCCTTGCCTGGGCGCGTGGACATGTCTTCTCCCGCGTCCTCATGTGCTCGTCCCTCTGTGTGTCTGTGTCTTCATCCCCTCTGCTCATGGGGACACCGGTCTGATCGGGTTAAGACCCACCCTGTGACCCTGTTTTAACTGAACCACCTGTACCTCTGGGTGCAGTTGCATCCTGAAGTGCTGGGGGTCAGGACTCGGACCTGTGAGTTTGGGGGGCACGCGGTTCAGTCCAGAACAGGCACTGAGGTCTGAGGAGTGCGCCCAGAGGTCTGCAGACCAAGAGTTACGTCAGGAGCCCTCAGGAAAAGTACCTTGGCCGCTGCAGCGATGGTGAAAATAGTAACGCATTTCTCAGCGTCCTTCTGGGGATTGTTGTCCCCTCTCTAGCAGTGATCAGATGGACACTTGCAGACTAGACTCTAGCATAAAATGGAAGGCAGTTTTTGTGAAACTCCGTGTCCCCAAACCACAACACACCTTACATAACTTGTGCCATGGTTTGCTCTCCAGAAAGCTCAACAATTTTTTTCCTTTTCAGAGCGAGTGTGCGTGTGTGCCTGAAGCGGGGGAGGGGCAGAGGGAGAGGGAATCCCAAGCAGACTCCCCGCTGAGCATGGAGCCTGACCCAGGGCTCGATCCCGCGACCCTGAGATCACAACCTGAGCTGACAAGACTCAGACGCTAAACCCACTGAGCCACCCAGGCGCCCCTCAACCTTTTATTAGAAAACACCAGGCTGTGTCCGTGTGCATGGGGCAGAAGGAGGGGTGGGTCTCCCCACATTCTAACCCCCCAGCAGCCCCATGTCCCCAGAGCAAAGAAAGCAGGAGGCAAAATGTCACCAGGAGTTAGCTTCATCTCAGGGTTAGGATGAGCCAAATGCTCCCCTCTCCGACGGGATGGTCCCCACCCCTCCCCTGTGCAGCCCCCGCCCACCCCACGCGCCCTCCCCACCATTTGTGTCCCACCATGCCCGTGGGCAGGTGCAGCGTGGGAGCTTGGACGTCACGTTTCCAGGGACGGGTGTTGTGTTGGCAGGGCCACGCCGGGCCCCGGCCAGCACTCAGGCCGTCAGGAGGTGTCACGAGGGCACGAGCTGCCACGGGGCGGGGCCATCAGATGGCGGAGGAAGTACGTCACTGAGGACTTTGGAGGGTGCTGGGGACCCCGTTTGTCCTTTGGAAAAGGATTAGCGAAGGGCAGGAGTCACGCCCCGACCCTGCCCTTCCCATCCAGGTGCTCCCAGACCCGCTCCTGCCAGGAGGGTGGTCCAGAGGCCATGAGGGCGACTTCAGAGAAAGAATAGATGAGGAAGGAAGGGTGGCCTCCATCGTGCAGCCCCGACTGGGTCAAGGGATCCAGGTGGTGAAAACCCACGGTGCTGACCCCACAAAACAGAAACAAGCGGACATGTGGCTCCTGGTAGAGGAACACACCACCGCCTGCGAGGGCATCTTGCCCAGAAGGAGAGGGAAGAACCTGAATCGGGTTAAACCTACAGAGCCAAGACCAGTTCACAGACGCTGGGGACAGAAGGACACGCTCGGTGACACAAGTGGGGAATCCACAGGATGGGCGACCTGGTTCTTCAAAGAAACTGTGAAAAGGGGGAAGGTGAAAATCCTATTTTCATGATTTTCACTTTATTGTCACCCCGTAGGGATTTAGAAATGAGATTAAAAAGCCAAGCATTTATGTGAGACCAACGTATTAATTGGTTAGGTTATTTTGTAAAATTGAAATCATTTTAACTATAAATCATTCTGTTCTAGTTTATGCAAACGGGAAGTCTGAATCTACACACAACGTACTCTTGCCCTGGGGCCGGGCCCTAGGTGACTTACCCATGCTCCATGCACACTCCTGGTGCTCTCCTGGGGGTGCAGGCTGAGGGGTTGCCGGGACAGGACCCTGGAGGGAGGGTTGGACCCTGCCGGGCAGCCTGCTGCTTCCAGACCTGACCTGGAGGAAACGTATACATTCTCACTGTTAGGTGACTTTCACCCTCTCTTCCCCGCAGCCAGCACCGGCACCCCGGTCACGGCCGAGACGGCCACTGTGCCCTGACCCTTGGGGGTGTCGCATAGAGTGTGTGTGTTTGAGTCTGTCCGCCCCAGAAGCCCGGTAGAGAAAACCACTCAGAGGCAGTGTGTGGCTTCCTGTGATCACGAGGGGACCCCAGCCGGGTCGGTAGCACCCCGTGGCCCCCGGAAGCACCCCCGTGTGCCCCCCGCCAAATAAGGACCGTCCCGACTGGCACAGTTACCACCGCCTGTGTGTTTGAATGGGGTCACCGCCCAAGCACGCCTCCTAGAGCCTCCAGTGTAGTCAGTCGTTCCCGTCACAGTTCAGACCGTTCTTGTGCTGGTAAATACAACCTATGATTCACCATTAGCAGCCTCGAGGACACCTGCCTGCACAGTCATCGTGTCCGGTTCGAATGTGCCCATCACCCCAGAGGAACCGGCACCCGTCGGCGCTCGCCCCCCCGCCCCTGGCGCCCCCGATCCTCTCTCGGTCTCCACGGACTTGTCAGTGCTGCACATTCTTGTAAATGGAAGCGCACACTCCGTGGCCCTTTGTGCCTGGCTCCTCTGGCTACTCATCGTGGCCTCGAGGCCCACGCTCGTCGTGGGGGGTCAGTGCTTCCCCCCCTGCTCGTGGCCGAGTGACACAACACCGTGCAGGTGGACTGAGCTGTGCTTGTCCCTTCATCTGTCGGTGGCGCTGCTGTGAACCTGGAATGGTTCACTTCGTCTGGTGTTCACCAAGTGGGTTGCTGTGCTCCGTGGTGACTCTGCCGGGCTTACTGGGAACCACCGAACTGGCCCCCTGACTCTTAGCTTCAAAGTGCGCCGCTTCTCTTCGGGCTGTAGCTCCATCCGCCTCTTCTTACCGTTTATCTCGTGAAGCCCGGGCCCTTGGCCCCAGGGTGTCCCACAGCCGGGCCTGGCTGGCTGTGTCCGTGGGGTGCAGGGGCATCGGTTGAGTCCCGTTGCCTGTGCGTGGTAGGTACGTCTGATCCGTGGCTCGTAGCCACGGGGAGCCCCGTGGGTTCACATACTCCTCCCCTCGCTGGAGAGCCGCCTGGACAGCCAGGATTGCCCACAGCCCTGGTCTGTGCTGCCATGAATGGCCTGGGACACATCCTCCCTGGGACCAGCAAGGGTGTGGGTGGCATCAGGGCCTTGACCCGGGCACCCTGGGCCTGGCAGACACAGGGCTGTGGTCCCAGGGACCTCACAGGGTGACCATGGTTTGGGGGGGCACCATGACTCGTGTACAAATGCATTTGTGTTCATACTTTGCTTGGGTCCATAGGAACATGTCCACGGTTGAAGTGCAGAAGGACCATGGTGTGTGTGTGTGAGCGCACGTGTGGGTGCAGGAGAGCTGGCCGCCCTGTACTGGGCCCCCCGCCGGCAGCACGCTGAGGCTCCGCCGGGGGAATGTGGCTTGCCCTCTCCCCCGACTCTGACACTTGCTGTCCCCGTGCGCGGCGTCTGCCCAGTCCCTTCCCACCTTGGCCCCGCAGGGAAGCCATCCCTCCTGACACCCGGCACGGGCAGGTGAGGGCCCCTGTCTCCCTGGTGCTCAGCAGGTGCTGGGTCCTGGCCGGCCTGGGACGCGTGACGGGCCTCACGAGGGTCCTGCGTTCCCAGTGAGGTAGAGCCTCCTTCATGTGCATGGTTGCCGTTGGCATCCCCCCAGTTTCCTTTGGTGCCGTCTGCCCCCCGTTGCTCAGGAGCCTGAAGCAGCTCCGTCTGCCTGAGGGCCCACGTTGGAGGCCGTGTCCAGCAGCCACTGTGGCCCGGAGACGTGTGGACCAGGTGTCCCCTCAGACCCAGGCTGGGGTCCGCCACCCCTCTGCCTCAGGTTTCCCCCGGGGGTGGCCCTAAAAGTCACCCAAGTCCTGTTGGGGTGGATATGGTGGTGGGGAGGGCCACAGAGCTGCCACCTGCTGGTTCCCTGGGGTCTGCAGTCCTCAGGGCTCTGTCCCAAGGCCCAGGACGGAACCCCCAAGAAAGAAGGTTTTGCCGGGGACACGTCATCCCGAGTGGGCGTGGGTGCATCACAGGCAAGTGACGTTCAGGTGGAGTTGGGACGAACTGCTGAGACATCTAGCAGAGTTCCGGAAAGGGGCTCCACATGGGGTGCTCCCACTCACGCATGGCCGCTGCAGAAGGGCCTGGAAGCTCAGGGCAGGGGCGGGCTAGAGAGGAGCCGAAACCCAGCAGCGGGGTGTGGGGCGCCAGGGCGGCGTGTCTGGGTGAAGTGCTGCAGCCCCTCAGGTGGCCCCTTGAGAACCTGGGAAGGCTGATGAAAGGCTCCGTCCTGGGACTGGCCGATGCAGGGTCTCAGGCTCGGCCCTCGGGTCTGCACACCCGTGGAGCCGGCTCGGGGTC